CTATATCCTAGTTTTGGTGCAATTGATTCCGCTCTTGCCAATCTCTCTGATCACGTGTCGCTTGACTTGCTTTGAGTGCACGTCGCTAAAGTTCCCTCATAAGTCTGATTTTCGCAATGTAGGGATCGCTATTGATAGTCGAGCTATAATCTAGTCGCTATCGGGCATTCCACTTGCACTATCATACCTTATTCCTTGCTTTCCCTTCTTTTGATTTCTTCTCGCTGTCACTAGTCAGACATCGCATAGCGCTATCACATAGGACAATTTGCATAGCACTCCTCACTTATACGCACGTTTCTCTGTCGGAACTCACTTGTCACTAGTCGCTGATCGCTACAGCGCTACTCATTGGTTTTTTGGTCTTAGGTCGCTATAGGTTATTAGCCCTTCACATCATCGCTACCCTTGCATATTTGAAGGGAGTTGCTTCAATAGCAGTCCTCTTGGGTCGAATACTACACTCGCACCTATTTGGATAAGTAGCGCTAGTTTCTAACCAGCCTAGTAGCTATTACTCTTTCACACCGGAATATATTAGTCAAAGAGATAATTCAAGAGACAATTCAGGAGGTTTACCAGATCAGACATGAGTGGAACACATTGGGTTGAGACACATTAGTCGAACAGACAATTCAAGAGACAATTCAAGAGGTTATTCAGGAGGTTCACCAGGTCAGACACGAGCGGAAACACATTGGTTGAGACATGTTAGTCGAACAGACAATTCAAGAGACAATTCAAGAGGTTTACCAGGTCATACATGACCGTAACACATGCGAGTCACCAGAACAACTGAGTTGCCAGAACACATCAGTCAAGGAGACATTTCAAGAGACAATTCTGACCATGGTGGATGATACAGATGATATCAGCCGGAGTTCAAATCTTGCTTGAACACTAAATGAGACAGATGGTGCTAGTTGAGGAGCAAGGTCAGCAACGCTTGCGTGATTATTCAAGTTTGGCCACAAAGATCTGTTGCCAGCGGTACTAAGCAGCTCCTCCCACTAGCACCGATTGATCCTCCAATTCCCATCTGTGATCCCAGAGTCGATGCTTCCCTCAATAGGCATTCGATTAGTTTCATGCCCTCCAGGACGCGCTCCTCTTCAAGCCATATAGGAAGTGCACATTCTTTGAGATTACACTGATGTCTTCTGAAAAGCTCATAAATGCCTACAAGCGCAAATTTGAAGTAAATGACTTACCCAGGATAATACATAAGGTCATACACAACTGGCAAACTCAGATTTGCAAGAGGATGCCCGCTCTCCAGATCCAGGCCCAGTAAAGGCATGGCCTCCTGCAGTCTGGAAGGATTTTTGAGAGAGAGAATTGATAGAGAGGATGAGCGCTCTCCAGATCCTCCAGAGACCAGGTTCCAATAATGCCTATAGCCAGTCCACGGTCCGAGTAAAGCAATTCTGAATATGATGAGCAATACGAGTTGGAGTGAGTGTTCACATGCAACTTTCTACAGATGGGCAAGACAAAGGGCAATTAGAGGAGGTAAGATGGTGAGAAGAGAAGGTAAGACTCGGACCCTATGTCTTTGGCTCAAGATTGAAGTAACATTATAAATATCAACACCTACACAACCGTTATGATCATTATCCCCATGCCCAACCAATGGAAAAATTTTACTCCCAGTGTTCTGACCTTCAGGCAGCTCCACTGGAGGTAATTGCGTCACATATTCTTTGCATGTGGAAAGCATGCCAGACAGACCATCAGATTGTCCTTGAGCTGCAGAAGCATATTGACACAACTCGCTACGGCATCAGGTAAGTCACAGGGTTTTTATTCCTCATACATAATGTAACGTTAAACACTAGATGTACCAAATTTCTCGAAATCTGCAAAGCAATTGGTCTTCAACGGACCCGTCAGCAAGCGCATACTGTTGAGTCTATTCACAATGCAATGGTCGAGTTACATGCAATCTATCCAAATGCGGGAGCACATGAAATGGCAAGCTTACTGTAAGGTAGAAATCGCGCAAAAGAGACCAGTGTCACGTGATAAACGTTACAGAAAGGTGACAGAATGCAAATTAACAATTAACATACCATAGAGCTCAGAGTTACAGAATTTGAAAAGATGACATTGACAAGAATTATGCTACACAGAAACTTATCTTTTCAGAACTATGATAAATGAGCTAACGAGTGAGATAATCGATGTTCTTGAAAATGTGCCGCCAGTGGAGTGTGAAGCTGAAAGTCCAACACATCATGCCGCAAAGCCGTGGCACTGGTGATCTGTAGCATGGTATGGGCAACAACAAGACCTGGCGAAAACGGCGTGGTGACGCCTTGCTGCATGGCAAGCATTCAAGAAAGCAAAGGCTCCACTGGTAACAGGTTCTGATCTATAGAATGATGAAGAAGTGAGTAGTTTTTGCAAGTTTCACTGAAAACAGAGCTCGCTGATATGTCTATAAAGTTTGAAAATACTGCATCAGCACCCATTTTTACCGCGGAGGATCGTATGGACACACCAGAATCGACTACACAGGCACAGATCCCCTTGGCAGACATGGCCAACACTTTAGACAGAGCAAAATGTGATTCATTCACTGGATGCAGTGCCTTTGTCATCCATGCGACGGTATGTTTTTTATTGATAATCAGATCCAATGACATCAGCTGACAAGTAAATCTCAGCTTCGCAACTCGTTCTGCACGATTCATTGATGCTTATCAAAAGGGATTAAACGGTGTGAGAGCTGCATGGGCTATCAAGAGGTACCGAGGGCATTGTGTCCGACTCCTTCCTCCCAGCATCATGCAAGAATTTGATGATGCTCACTCGACTGCCTGAGCCTGAGTCTGACCATCTATTTTCTCAACTTTATAGACACTATTTACATCATAGTATAGTCCTACTTTTCACATACACTACATACATACTTAGGTCCTGCATCTTGCAAAGTACTATAGACACTCCGACCACTGGCACGTTCGGCAGACTTCGGCATCAACTGTTCTGCACAGCGTCACACTTTGTCACCTCACGTGAGGTTGGTCGGTTTTGCATGGTGTCTACCTTATCATGAGCAGGATATGAGCGTGGCTAGGTGATATGACTGTGCTGACTGTACTGCATTTAGGTTGCTGACTCTTTTTCATCTTAGGAGTGTCATAACATCATACTTTGCAGTGTTTGAACCTGATCTTGTCCGTGAGCATAAGGCACGTCGCCTTCAAAGAAGGCGATTCTGGGCCGCTGGCGTGAATGACTTGTTTGCAGGTCGATCAGCACGATGTGAAAATCACAACCTGACTAGATACCTGTAAAAGTACTTAGCCAGTATATGAGGTCTTAGCTCTGCCTAGCTGCTTTACTTGCAAGCAAGAGCGTTCGACCCTAAAGGGGGTCTGCTGTCTAGTTAAGTCGAAATATGTCAGTACTAGGCAAGGAGTGGAACTCGAATAGAAAGGTCGAGTCCGATGATAGGAGATGAAGTCCAACATAGGGGATACCGAGTCCGATGTTTCGGGGATCGGGGAGGACGGGAAAGCAAGGGAGAAGTAAGGAAAAATGCAGGGTTAGGATTGGGAACACAAGGGAATGTTTAGGGAAATGAGCGACTGAGGTTCAGATCATAAGGAGAGGAAATCAGGTATATTCAGCAGGTATAGGGGATAGGGACTAGGTAGGGTGACCAGTATCAGGGAATTTCTCCCTTCTACAGAGTGGTCCAGTATGATCACCTATGAAGTCCTATTTAACTAGCTACGTGCGAGTCCAGGATACAGTAGGCGAAAATAGTAGCTCATCGTCGGACCCAATTAAGTATGTAAAAGCACATGAGGTGCTGCAGCCAGTGGGAATCCTCGTAATATGGCGGGTTGCGTCGGGGATGGCCAGGGGTGAGTCGCACGACATGGGGTATGGTCAGGAGTTGTATACTAGCTTCATACGAGCCTAGCAAAAATATAGTTGTCACAATGATAAATGGCTCAAGTTTGGTCTGGGGCTGCACATGGGGTATTGAGCCGTTCTCTGGCCACATTATGTGGATCCGAGTCTGGCACTCTAACAGAAATCCGCAGTTGATTCTTACCTAACACCTTGACATGCTTGAGGAACTTGGCCGTTGACATGCACGAAACCTGTTTCGTACATGGTCATGGCAAATTTATGATACATGCAATTCTGCTTTATGTTTTTTTATGATGTTTCAATGCAACTACGTTGCTCAACATCATGTTTTGTTTTCAAATCGAGGACGATTTATTTATTGTTCCCTGCGGATGACACGCACGAAGCCTGTTTCGTACATGGTCATGGCAAATTTATGATACATGCAATTCCTTACTATAGTCTATGCACTTCCCCTGAATTTCTATACCCTACTTCAATTTACTTTGGACATTTCTGAGCATGTATCACCAAGATACGACTTAGTGGTTCAAATTAAATACTTAATGTACCCTTTATCCTTTCTATAACTCTTTATTTTATTTACCCCTATGACAAACATATGCCATGCCACTTCATTTGTATTTGTGTACTTAAGGCTGTGGTACCAAACAAGTTGACAATACAAATAAACAACTTTGGATTGGTAACCAAACAAATGAGTCATAATGAGTCATGTCTGCTATGACTCATACTGAGTCATCTTTCTTACTAACTCATTCCATGACATTCCATGACATTCTATAGTTCTTTCTCAAACATTCTTGAATATTCTATAGTACATTAGTAATCAGTAGCACAGCCACTAGTCTAGTAGTATATAAGGGGGCTCATTTTCCCTCTTGTGAAGCAATCAATTTGATTCCCAAGTATTAACAGAGTGAAGCACAGTTAGGGGAACGTAGGGGAACATTCTTTCACCCCTTAGATTCTTTGTCCCCATTATTTGAGTAAACATTCAAGTGGATATCAGGAGAAATATTAGCTTATTAGCTCCATTGTTTTGACATTATACTTCACATTCTTCAAAAGTATCTGGCCACATTCTTGAGCCACATTTGATTACATAATCTTCAATTAGCACATTCTTAAAGCACATTATACTTCACATTCTTCAGAAGTATTTGGCTACATTCTTGAACCATCTTTGATTCTATCGTCTTCAATCATTCTAGTTCTCTTTTAGACACAGGAAAAGTTCTGTGGGGAGAATTTCACATATTATTCATCAATTAGGGTAGACACAAATAAGACCTACAATCTGTCAATGAATATTAAGAGCTTGGCCACTTAAGACTACATCAAGAAGGTGTACTCTATTCTGGACTGCGTCATTACTCATTGTGAGATCCTGAGCAGCAGAGAGTTGGTTTCAAGGCCACGTATTGGGACGATCCTGCTAGTGAATTTGTTCTCCATTGCTGAAGTATTAGTAAGGAATATCCAAGAGGGATATATATAGTATAGTTTAGTTCA